AAGTAGGGTAGAGTAGGCGGCGGATATCCGTCGGGGGGCGGGACCTGTGGCGCTCGTTCCGCGAGCTTGCCATCTTGACGCCAGGATTCCAACAACAGCACGGTGCTCTTCGAGGGTGGTGCTGAAGATGAGGATGTCATCGAGGTAGACAGCGACCTTTCCTGCAGCGATCAGGTCAGTGAAGATCGAGTTCATTAGAGCTTGGAACGTGGCAGGGGAGTTGGTGAGTCCGAACAGCATGACCCACGGCTCAAATAGATCTCGATCATGGACTGTAAACGCAGCCTTCCACTCATCACCCTCCTTGATGCGGACGTTGTGGTAGCCCCAACGGACTTCAAACTTGGTGAAGTACTTGGCCTGACGCAGGCGACTGATGATGTCCGATGCGAGGGGAAGAGGGTACCGATTCTTCACCGTGATCTCGTTGAGCTTGCGATAGTCCTGGACTAGACGGAGCTTGCCATCCTTCTTCTTCACGAAGAAGACCGGGGACGCCATCGGGGACTTGGAGGGGACAATGTAGCCTTTCCGAAGGTTTTCCTCGAGGAACCGGTCGACTTCCTCCTGCTCGTTGGGCGACATCGGGTAGGCCTTGGAGCGTAGAGTTTCTGGGGCGTCGGGTTTGAGGTCGATGGCATGGTCGTACGGCTTGTGTTCCGGGAGGCGTTCTGATTCGGTCTCAGAGAAGACCTTCGAGTATTGTCGGTACTCCTCTGGAACGATCTCCTCGAACGTGCGTTTGGGCTTGCCTTGGTTGGCCTTCTGCGCGAGCTCCGTGGAGTAGGTGTACCCGGCGGCGCACCATAACTCCTCGGTCGTGTCCTCCAGAACCTTGGCCTTCCACCACTTCCTTCGCTGCACCCGGTTGGCGGCAATCCGCTCAATACCGGGTTTCCATTCCGTCTCAGCCTCTGTTTCCTCCGCACCAACCTCCATGGTGCCTTCCTGCCAGTCAATGTCCGGATTGACCCTACGAAGCCAAGGTAAACCTAATACGACGTCTTCGGGGCCCAGATCTGTAACTAGGAACTCGAGCCATTCCGTGTAGTCGCCCATAAGTACTTGTAATCTAACGTAATGGGATATGCTGCCTGCACTGTTCTTGGAGCCATCGATGTTGTAGAGGGGAATGTCTCTAGCCAGCCTATGTAAATAAACATTGTTCTTCTTTACGAAACGGTGGCTGATGAAAAGGGCTGTTGCCCCACTGTCTATCATAGCTGCGGAACGTACACTACGGTTTCTGCCTTTAAGTATCACACTGACGCGGAAATGCGAGCTAGACGGGTTTAATTCGGGAATGATACACGAACTAACACTATCGTACAGGCAGGGGTCAGGGATCTGGGGGGGCGAAGAGTCCGTAGTCGTACCAGAGGGCGCCGCTGCGGCAGCTTTCCCACGCGCCTGCTCTAAAAAGACTTCTGGAGGGAAGCAAGCTGATCCGTGAGGGCCTTCTGCTGCTCCATGAGCTGGGCGATGAGGGTGTTGGTCGCTCCAGCGTCTGTGGACGACGACGTCGACGCTGCGACCTGGGGTTCCTCGGGTCCCTCCTCCGTTGCAGCGAGCTTCTGCGATCGGGGCTTCTTCAGGAACTTGTCCATGCATACCGTCTCGCGGTGCCCTACACGGCAACAGTAGTTACAGACGTCCTGGTCGTGGCCCCCGTCCTTCTTGACGTGCACCGTAGACCCGCAACTGTAGCACTTGCCGCGCATGAGGCGGTTGAACTCTTCGCGCGTGCAAGTGGCGTCAATGTCCATCGCGTTCGGGTTTCTGGTCGGCGATGTGAAGGGTGTGGTGTGCAGCGGGGCTGTTGGTTTGGTGGCAGTGGCGGTGGTCATGGTGCGTCTGCGCTGACGTTCTTGTTCGGCACAGCTGTCACAGTTTTCTTGTGCCACGTGACCTGGGGGTCATGTGAACCAGGACAGACGCTCACCTTGACCACGGACAACTCGTATCGGAAAGTGGAGGAGCCAGGATCGAACCCAGGACCTCGTGGGGTCCGGGAGCGCCCAGCCTCACTCACTGGCAGGTGACTCACATGTCAGCAGGGGGGCTTACTCATCGGAGGAGGCCCGGACTTAGCATGACTCAGGTGTTAGTCATGAGGATGTCATGTGACAGGTCAGGAGGCAGGGTATGAGTCAGCGGACTCTGACCAAGCAAGGGACAATAGGGACCTGGTCTGTGCACCACTGTATTTGTATAAATAGTAGGGGGTCTGAGGCAGAGAACCTCAGACTTGATCTTCTCGTCGATCCCCCATCTCCTTTGTAGGTAGCTAGCAGCCCTACCTCTTCACTGCCCCTTCTAGTCTAGGGAATCTACTTGCTTACCTCACCTCTTGCTGTGTCACTTGTGGTTGCTTCGCTCCCCAGCACCAACCCCTTCACAAGTAAGCTTGTCTTTGTTTGTCTGGTGGCACAGCTCGTCGGCTGTGACAACAGCGTTGGCGGACACGGACATCAATGTCCGAGGAGATGGTGATGAGATCTTCCAGGGACGCAATTGGCCTTGCCGTGTGCACCAGCTCGTCCTTGATGGAGTCCGCAAGGTGTTCGTAAAAGCGGTCGCGGAGGTCTGCCTTGGAGTAGCCGGTGCGGGTGGAGACCTCATTGAACCGTGCGGCGTACTCCGGAACAGTCATGGTGCCTTGCCATAGCGTACGGAGACGTTCCTTTGCGTCCACGGCCTCATCCACGGTTTCAAAACGGGCCTTAAACTGGGTGCGAAATTCTGTCCACGAGCCTTTGAATGGGGTGGTGCCCTGCGTGATCTCCTCCATCGCCGGAGTGGCCCAGAGAGCCGCACTGTCCTGCATGAACGAGAGGACCGCCCAAATCCACTGGTCGTCGTGCGCACCGATCGCGTTGCCCATGGCATCGATGTGGTTGAGTGTCAAACCTTGGGACATGGCCCAAAGGGTGAATGCGGCCAGGAAACACCGTGCCTCACCTCCTTGTTCACCTTTGAAGGGGGAGGGCTTCTGGACAGCCTTCAGACTGTTGGCTCCGGTGGTCGAGTTGGCCAGCTGTGCCATGGACTGAGTGAGGAGGGTCATCGACTGGAGGAAATTTGAACTCGCACTCCCGAAGGCTTGAGTGTCGGCGCTCAAATTAGCTACATGTTCTTAGAGCAGAGAGTGAATGTCAGCCTCAGACGTGTCCGTCGACGCGTCCGTCGAATGATGTCATGCGTGAAGATTGTGAAGAAACATACTTCCAGGGTCCATGAAAATCATATTGAACGCTTTGTGACCCTGAGCTCTGTTCTGTACCATCAGTATGGCCGACCCTAGCGATCTGGCAACAGACTTACAACAAAAACTCTCGCAAGCGCCCACACTTCGACAATCAAACCTTAAGACAATCCCTACTCAACTCCTTCTCTCGGAAGAGCACCGTACGGCCCTGCAGGGAATCTGTGATGCTGGTCAGCTTGTTTCCCACAGACATCGGAATGATGCAGATGATCAAGGCATGTATTACTTTATTCTTTTATGTAATATATGCATCATAAGTCACCAGGCCGTGCCCTTGATTTCTTTGACAACCTCGGTCTCCACTTACCAAGCATATACAATCGGGATGTGTCATCAAAGTGGTCCATCCGCTTCTCAAAAGCCGTGCCCTTGACTACTTCCGGATATATACGCACAACATACATTTTTCAGTGTATATGCGGCTCTGACCATGCTGCCGGTGCCAGGGTCACCAAGAAGCGCCAGATGCCGTGGGACAATCTCGGCTGCAATGCCTTTGTCCGTGTTGTTGCAACTTTTGACGCCCAAACTCGTGCGTGGCAATTCTGTAAGAATGATATTTGATCTCACTTAACACTAGCCCGCACACTTATCGCCTTCAACGAGTTTTGGGGCCTCTTCAAACACTCAGAAGATTGTGAGGCGGCCATAACAGCAGTTCGCGATGTCCGGTTTCCCCTCCATCCAGATATCCGGCAATATGCGGGCTCCTTGCTTCGAAAAGGGGTGTCTGGACCATCGGTTTATACCCAGGCCAATGCTTGGGCACAGATTCGTCATCCTCCGATCAAAGCGGCATGGGACCCGTACTACCGGTACATCTACCTTCCTCATGACACCTCCTCTATCTATCGCAGCCTCAAGCTCGAAATGGGAATCAGACAATGTTCTAGACCACACGAGAACATTGATGCCTGGTTCCGACAGACCAACCCTAACCCTCCTTCATCAGAACTTGCTGATGCCTGCCTGTTTTATCAACCTTTTGTCCAGGGTCAATCTGATCGATTCATCTTGATCTTATCAACTCCGGATCAACAGGCCTGTGCCTGGCGCTATGGGCATGGGAAGATCATTCTCGTCGATCTAACATTTGGCTTCTCTTCGGCACGCGCTAATGTCTGGATTGTTATGGTCATTGACGAGGCCTATAAAGGCATTCCAGTTGCCTATATCCTCTTCTCAGCCAAAGAGGAGACATCGGAGCGCGGTGTCCATGCAGACTACAACAAACATCTTCTCACCCAGCTTCTATCACACTGGAGCACAGCTATGGGGACCAATCCGGAGGGGGTTCAGTTCCAGCCCCAAGTCGCTGTCAGCGACAATGACATCAAGGAGCGCCATGCGATGACATCAGTCTGGCCAGACATCAAGCTTCTTCTTTGTCTCTTCCATACTTGGCAGGCCTGGCGGAACGCCCTGAACCGCTCCCTCGGTCCCCTTCCAAAAGGGGATGAAAGGATGGAAGTCCGCACCCGGCTTGCACGGTTTTGCATGCGACTGTAAGTCCTGCTTTAGGGATTAAGCAATTGTTTTAACCGATATGACAGCCTGCGTCGACTATAGCAATGCACAGGCAGCCTTCAAAGAGGAGGAAGCCTTCTTTAGGGCGCTGCACAGCCGCCGGGCCGGATCAGAGAAGAAGCGCGGAGCCGCGGGAATCAAGTTCCTGAAATATCTGTCAAGTTTTCTCGCAACAGAGGAATACTGGAAACAGTGGTCTCGGGCTGGCGTCCTCGATGCAGCGGCTACTCTTGGCGTTACACCAGAAGAGGTCCCACGGACCACAAACCATTTGGAGAGTCACAACAACCATCTCAAAGGCGACTACTTTGCAGATCACACGCATGGTGGGCGCCTTCCCCGTTTGGACATTTGGATTATTGTTCTCGTCACTGCCGTGATCCCAGACTTCTTCTTTCGGCGTGAGAACATGCGAACCCTCCAGGAGCAGCGTGCCTTCCTCCAGACCGCTCCACATGCCCGTTCTAGGAATTTAGACGCCCCGGTCTCTCCGGTAGAGCCTGTCCTCCCTGTGGCTATGCAACCTACTCCCTCGGACTCCCTTCCGGCTGCTGCTGACGGTCTCTCACTCACTAGCTTTGAAAGTGACTTGCTGGGTTCTATGCTGGCTGACTCTGGGGATTCTCATGGCGATATCTCTGATCTAGACAACTCTCTGGACAGCACTGCCTCGAATATGGATGACTCTTGGCTGGCTGAGCCAGAAATAGCTATGGGCGCCACCCAGATCTCAGCCGATCTAGCTTCTCTGACACCTGACCCAGTTAGGGTTAGGGCTGATCACTCAGTCTCGTCCTCTCCAGCCAATGCCAATGCTCGGACCATTCTGATGCAAGAGTTGCTGCAGGCCACTGATTGTCACGGACGTTGGACAGACGCCCCTTTTTGCCGCCCATTCCCCTCCCCTTGACGCCCACCTTCCATTTTCGGACCATTTCCTTTCTTAGCCCATCCCAGTTTGGACACTGTAGATACGTTCCCACTGCCACATGCTCCGCTCCCGTGATCACCATGCTCTTGCCTTTTCTTTCTCGCCCTTTGTTCTTCCTTTGTCATCTTCACTGCCTCGCTCTCGCGCTTTGTCTTTGGTTGCTAAGCAGCCCCTCGAGTATATAAGGACCCCCTTAGGCGCTCCCTAGTCCCCATCTCGACCTCTTGGTCATTGGGACTAGGTGAGTGACCATAGCGTTGTACTTCCCTTCGAGTGCTAATGTATAACTTGGTCATTGGGACTAGTCTGTCGCCATCTGCGTGAAGACTAGCTTTCGTCGGTCTCGTGCCTCTGTGCCGGCCGCCGCTCTGCCCCCGTCGAGTTTTCTGATACGTTTATCCCTCTCACCCTCTCTTCTCCCCTTTCGGCTCCTCACCGCTCGCCTACG